GCCCGAAATTGCACCAAACCTAGCCTACTTTCTATCACTCCCAACCCCCACGAGGGACGGTTTATTTTCTTTTGAGCTAATTTTTGGTGGGTTTTCCCTTTGTTTACCATCCCTGGTCGAGTTTGTAACAAATATTCCCCACCCTATCACTTGTCTAGCCTATTTTTCATTTGCTCATCATCCTTGGCCAAAATTGCACCAAACCTAGCCTAGTTTCTATATCCCCGAACCCACCCGAGGGACGGTTTATGCTCTTTGAAGATAAATTTTTGGTGGGTTTTCCTTTTGTCTATCATCCTTGACCGAGTTTGCACCAAATATGCCATACCCTATCACTTGTCTAGCCTATTTTCCCTTTGATCATCATCCTTTCCCAAAACTTCACCAAACCTAGTCTACTTTCTTTCCTGTCCAACCCACCCGAGGGACGGTTTATGCTTTTACAAGCTAATTTTTTGTGGGTTTTCCCTTTGTTCAGCATCCTTGACCGAATTTCAACCAAATATGGCCTACCCTTTCCCTTGTCCAGCCCATTTTCCCTTTCTTCATCATCGTTGGCCAAAATTGCACCTAACCTAGCCTATTTTGTATCCTGCCCAACCCACCCCTTGACCAGCCCATTTTTCATCCTTGGCCAAAATTGAACCAAACCTAGCCTAGTTTCTATATCTCTTAACCCACTCGAGAAACGGTTTATGCTCTTTGGAGCTAATTTTTGGTGGGTTTTCCTTTTGTTTATTATCCTTGACCGAGTTTGCACCAAATATGCCCTACCCTATCACTTGTCTAGACTATCTTCCCTTTGATCATCATTCTTTCCCAAAATTTCACAAAACCTAGTCTACTTTCTTTCCTACCCAACCCACCTGAGGGACGGTTTGTGCTTTTACAAGCTAATTTTTTGTGGGTTTTCTCTTTGTTCAGCATCCTTGACCGAATTTGCACCAAATATGGCCTACCCTTTCCCTTGTCCAACCCATTTTCCCTTTCTTCATCATCATTGGCCAAAATTGCACCAAATCTAGCCTAGTTTGTATCCTGCCCAACCCACCCGAGGGACAGTTTATGCTCGTACGAGCTAATTTTTGGCGGGTTTTCCGTTTGTTCACCATCCTTGCCCGAATTTGCACCAAATATGACCTACCCTTTCCATTGTCCAGCCCATTTTCATCGTTGGCCAAAATTGCACCAAACCTAGCCTAGTTTCTATATCTCCGAACCCACTCGAGGGACGATTTATGCTCTTTGGAGCTAATTTTTGGTGGGTTGTCCTTTTGTTTATCATCCTTGACCGAGTTTGCACCAAATATGCCCTACCCTATCACTTGTCTAGCCTATTTTCCCTTTGATCATCATCCTTTCCCAAAATTTCACCAAACCTAGTTTACTTTCTTTCCTGCCCAACCCACCCGAGGGACGGTTTATGCTTTTACAAGCTAATTTTTTGTGGTTTCTCCCTTTGTTCAGCATCCTTGACCGAATTTGCACCAAATATGGCCTACCATTTCCCTTTTCCATCCCATTTTCCCTTTATTCATCATTCGTGCCCAAAATTTCACCAAACCTAGTTTACTTTCTTTCCTGCCCAACCCACCCGAGGGACGGTTTATGCTCTTACGAGCTAATTTTTTGTGGGTTTTCCCTTTGTTCACCATCCTTGCCCGAATTTGCACCAAATATGGCCTACCATTTCCCTTTTCCATCCCATTTTCCCTTTATTCATCATTCTTGCCCAAAATTTCACCAAACCTAGTCTACTTTTTATCTTGCCCAACCCACCCCAGGGGCGGTTTATGATCTTAAGAGCTAATTTCTGGTGGGTTTTCCCTTTGTTTACCATCCCTGACCGAATCTGCACCAAATATGGCCTACCCTTTGCCTTGTCTAACCTATTTTCCCTTCGTTCAATGCCCTTCCCGTAAACTCTAGCAAACCTAGCCTACTTTTCTTCTTGCCCAACCCACCCGAGGGACGGTTTATGCTTTTACGAGCCAATTTTTGGTGGGTTTTCCATTTGTTCACCATGATTTCCTAAATATGCCCAAATTTCCACCAAATATGGCCTATCTTGTCACTTGTTCAACCCATTTTCCCTCTATTTGTCGCATTTGTCCCAAATTTGCACCAAATATAGCCTACCCCGTCACTTATTCAACCCATTTTCCCTTTGTTCATTGCCTTCACCCAAAATTGCACCAAACCTGGACTACTTTCTTTCTTTCCCAACCCACCCAAGGGACGGTTTATGCTTTTAGGAGCTAATTTTTGGTGGGATTTCCCTTTGTTCACCATCCTTGCCCAAATTTGCACCAAATATGGCCTACCCTATCACTTGTCCATCCCATTTTCCCTTTGTTCATTGCCTTTGTTCAAGATTTCACCAAGCCTAGCCTAGTTTCTTGGATTTTGTTCCTTTTGGTAAATATATATGGGTGATCGCTACTCTGGTTGAATTTCAGCCTCTCGGTTGGAGATGGTTGCATGCTTGGTTCATCCCATT